AGCTTTCTTTAGAGCCTAGTCTCACATGGTGGTGTTGGACCAGATGCGCCTTTTGGCGTCAGATAAAAGGGTAAAAAAACAATTATCATATTTTGCTACTGGCAAATGAGGTTCCAATGGTGTACAAGCGACCCTCTCTCACCTGAAGACGGTCTCTTGTATTGCGATCGAAACGTCGTGATCTATTAATTCTCTACGTGGCTTTACCGAAAGAACCAAAGAGTATGGCCCATCATCGCCGCATGGACATTTGTGGAGAGGAGCCAAATCCTCGAAACGCACGATTATAAATTCGGAGGGGCGAAAGAGAGACGTGCAAACTCGAAATACACAGCAGGCTTCAGGGTCGGGATCGAACCCACGACATCCTGCATACCAGGCAGGGTAGTTCACATCTCCTAGCCACCGTGATGATGATGATGGTGGAACCCACGACCTCCTGTACACCAGGCGAGGTAGTTCACATCTAGCCACCGTGATGATGATGATGAGAGAGAGAGAGACGCAGACTCCGAATATACAGCAGCAGCAGGCGTCGTCAGGGTCGGGATCGAACCCACGACCTCCTGCATACCAGGCGAGGTAGTCAACATCTAGCCACCGTGATGATGATGGTGGTGGTGGAACCCACGACCTCCTGTACACCAGGCGAGGTTGTCAACATCTCCTAGCCACCGTGGCGCCCCACCCGCCCACTCACCCGTCGGTCATTCGCCTCCCTGTCGCTCTTCTACTGATTTTCTAAACATGGGCGGTGACACGGCCGAGCTGTATCGCGCTCGCCGCTTGGTGCAGAGGGTTCGCGGTTCAAGGCCAGCGGCCGCCCTGGTCAATTCTGCAGTGTGAACTAACCCCTGAATGACGCTTGCCCGTCTGCTCCACACAAGAGTGGATTCTTAAAGACGTCATTCCTAACCAAGAGTAGATCGTTTGCGTGCCAGCGTCACTTGGCGTGTGGATATAGCCACACAGCCACATTGTCCCTTACTCTGAGAATACTGTGGACTATATTCCTCTACGGCCTTCCTTCGCGATAGACTTGTGCTGTACGATCGGCGATAATACCGTAATGTACTCAGTTATTTGATTTGATTCAGTTCCAGATCTGAAGATCGTTAAAGTGGAAGGAGACGGTGAGAGGCCGGAGGAGATGGAGGATTCCCATGGATGTCTGCGCACTGCAGACCGGAACTTCATCGAGGTGGAGTTGTCGGGGGAGGACGTTGGTGAAGGTGAGAGTCCACCTCTGATCGCGTCGCACAGAAATAATTAAGCAGCATCTTCTTGTCTCGTCGCCGGTCACGTCCCAGTCACGCGGGCAGCTGCTACAGCGGTGGCCTGATGGTCAGCGGCAGCGGCAGCAGCAGCTGACCGGACCTGTGATCCAGAGGTCGACGGCTCGATTCCGTCTCCCAGCACGGCAGCTTGTGAAACGATGGCGCAGGCTCCTCGAATGCCACGCCCCATCCACCGCCACCGCCTCGGGCAACAAACGGGAGTAACCCGGCACCTTCCGGAATGTACCGGCTTTAGCGTGGAGGAGCAGACCACAATACCGGTCTAGAGCTCCCCCGCAGCGGAAGGCCCCTTCCGCCGGCAGTGACGCGAGCGAGCAACGCAATTGCAGGGCGGCGCCTTTACCCGTTACACTAAGATTGGGCGAAGTAGGGCGGGCAGACGGCTGCACGGTGCGTGGCCGCTTTCACCCTCCGGCTCCGGCCCTTCGGGTGCCTCCCGGCTGCGCGTCGCACAACTCCGGCTCCGTTCCCAGTCCCAACTCCCGGAGGAGACGACCAACTTGCTCTTGCTGCTCTCCCCGCTTGGGCCTCCTCCGGCCGGCAGCGACTCCCGATGCTCCACCAACACCCGACGGGGCGGGGGGGGGGGGTGTCCGTTGTTGTTGACCCCCCTCGGTGTTGAGTCCGGGCTCGTCTGGCCACTGGTGCTTATCGGAAGGTGGCTGCGGACTCTTGCCAGGAGAATGTGGGCGAGTACCTTGGCAGGTCTTCTTGTTTTTTTCGGTAAAGTCATCACGTAGAAGGGAAATAATAAAATAATCAAAATAAAACTATAAAATACAATTCTCACGACGTTTCGGCCACAACGCAAGCAGCCGTCCTCAGGTGAAGAACAGGTCTGTCGGAAAGACGGGTACCGAGAGCAGCGGGCAGCGTCGCCCCCGCGGTATCTTGGTGCGGTCAGCTCAGTCCGCCCCTTCCAGATTGGGACATTCGGTCCCCGTCTCCAGTCGGGGGGGTGGGGCGGGGAGGACACACCCCGATCTCCAAACTGCATCAATCACCGAGTGGTGGAGCCCTCTAAGCAAATCCTCCCCGAAGTTCGGCCGTGATGCCGCAAACCCCAGACGCTTCCCCCCCCCCCCCCCTCTTCAGCCTCCCCACCGTTGGTCCAGCGACGGAGGGGCATCGGATATGGGGGGGGGGGGGGGGGGATCGGCGGCCTTGTGCCCGGCATCAGGCACATCCAGTTTCACGGCTGGAGAGGAGGGAGCGAGGAGCTGCTCAGAGTACCTGGCCCACACAGCCACAGCACTCCCGAGACTCTGATGCAAGAGATCCATCGGTCACCTCCGACGAGGCCACTAGAGGTTTGGGTTTTGGAGCGGAGGCCAAATGCTCCCCATCCCTTCTCAACAAGGCCTGACGTACGGCTCAAAAGGTCTCGGGTGTCTCTGATGAGGTGAGACTCCCTCCTTGACTCCAACACATCCACTGGCCGCCTCCAAGATCCCCACGCTTGAATGCTTCCGATTCGAGACCTCGACTGCATACCCCTTCGCAATCCCCTCATCTCGGGAGTTCCTAGAGGTCTAGCGCTCCCACGCTGGACCTCGGGATCCTCCTTTGGGACTTAAGGCGGTACCTGGGGTCTGATATCAGCAAGCCTATGATCAGTAATGAGGATAACCCGCACTCCTGACGACCCGGCAGTTCTGCAGGCGCTTCCAGCGGGTGCCGTACGAGAACGTGATCGATTTCCTTCTCTGCACCGGCGGCATCGGGGATCCAAAGTCCCAGCGTCAAGGAGTCAAGTTCGTTGGAACCGTGATAACAGCAATTCTCAGCTGCCCGGACGTTACGAAGTCCAAAAGCAAGGCTCCATTGCTATTCTTGGTCCCTGGCCCGTGTGGACTGATACCCGTCACCGCATTGAAGTCTCCGAGGACAACCCGGGGCATCTCGAGGTGGGGCACATGTCCAGCGACCGTCCCGTGGGTTTTGCACGAACCGCCTGCCAGGGTCCCTCCGTGACACCCCTTCGTCCATGTCCTCAAGATCACGCGCCTCGGTGGGGGCGTGGACAGCGACAAGGAAGAGGCACCCGAAACAGCGCCCCAACCTCGTCGTCACCGTACGTCTCACGAACCGCGGTGGCCCCCACCACCGAGGGAACTTGTGCACGCCCGACCCGCAGCGGGCGCCCCCTGGTGGTGTTCACCCTGAAGGCAGCAGGACCAGTAGCGGATGTAACCACCACGACTAACCTCGCCCTCACCGGGGCGACCTTTTTGACCTTTAGTCTTCACATTTCCCTTAATAGCAGGGGTGATTTATCATCATCTACCAGAGTTGAGACATTCCCGGAGCCGAACCTTACGAGTCGCTGAAGGGGGAACGACTGTTCAGCTGCCCTCCACTGGTGCCCTGCCGCACTTTTGAACAGCGGGACCAGGATAGCGGCGTGAACTCACCAATCCCCTGGCCACTGGTCCGACAGGTCTTCATCGGCGCATCATTGGTGGGTCCTTTCACATGGCTCGGCCGCAAGCCGTACCACGGATAGTGGTGTTTGTGTTTAAGATACAATGTAAACACGCGAGAGGCGGGCCACGAGAAAGCGACCATCTCCCACCCTAAGCACTCACATTCACGGAAAGACACCTGCAGGATGCAATACGGGCAGACGCTGCAGCATAGTTACGAATTCTATATTGAATACACATACGCGTGTGTGTGCGTGCGTGCGGCAGATGAGGGTAGGGAGATGGAGCCGTTGTGCGAGGCGTGCCGGAGGGACCTTGGCAGGTGGTTCGTGTCGGGTCAAGCAAAACCCACGGGACGGTCCCCACGGTGCTGCCTGCGGTGCGGGAAGACGCTTACAGGCGTCGTGTCGTGTGACAAGAACAACAACAAAGTTCCACGGATGAGGACACTGGCACCGAAGGAGCCGTGCGTCGTTCGATCGGAATCCGCGAAGGCTTCCAGGCCCGCACGCAGGCCGGCGGTGCAGAGGCGGCACGTGTGCGGCGAGTGCGGCAAGGGCTTCCCGTACCGCTGCCTGCTGAGGACGCACTCGGGGATCCACACGGGCGAGTGGCCGTACGCGTGCGGCGAGTGCGGCAAGGGCTTCCCGCAGCGCTCCCACCTGGAGACGCACGCGCGCATCCACACCGGCGAGAGGCCGCACTCGTGCGCCGAGTGCGGCAAGGGCTTCAGGCAGCGCTCGGACCTGAATATTCACTTGGTGACGCACACGGGCGAGCGGCCGCATGCCTGCGGCGTCTGTGGCAAGGCCTTCTCGCTTCGCTACAACCTGGAGAGGCACGCGCGGATCCACACGGGCGAGAGGCCGCACGTCTGCACGCAGTGTGGCAAGGGCTTCTCGCAGAGCGACACCCTCAAGAGGCACTGCGCGGATCCACACGGGCGAAAGGCCGCACGTCTGCACGCAGTGCGGCAAGGGCTTCTCGCAGAGCGACACACTCAAGAGGCACGCGAGGACGCACGCCGGCGAGCAGAAGCCTTGAGGTCGAAAGGATTTGCGAGCATTGATATGGGGGCGGGGGGGAAGGGTGGCCCGGTGACTTGGAGATGTGACGGCCGAGATGCTGGATTTGAATCCAGGTCTAGGCCACTTTGTGTGCCAACCGAGTTCTCGCGTGTAGTGAGCTATTGGTCTCGGCTCAGCCACCAGTTGACAGTATACATCATGATCGCGTTAAGTTTGATTTTGCATTGAATTTGGCCGAATCGCAGCTCCGAGAATAAATATTTTATATATTTGCACTTATACGGTGTCGCTTACATTCCTCAGCAACTCAACACACCCCCCCCCCTCCACATTGCACCTCAATCTCCAACATTCCCAGGGCACCCCCAGTGGTAGCTACCCCTAGGCGGCACAAGGTGTACAACACAGCAACGGCCTGCGAGCGGGCATACTCGCTCTCGATTGACCTCACGGGGCTCTTTAAATTCTACTGTGAAGCAGACGGCACGTGGTATTCGTTTGCATTCGTTTTAACCACAGCGTTAACCAAGGCGGCTGGGCCTACTACGTGTGTGTGTGTTGCGAGTGGGGAGTGGTGGCGCGGCAGTAACCCGGCGGAGACCCGAGTTCAATTGCCGCTCGCGGCAGCCAGCGACATCGGCAAATATCTGAATCGGTCCTGGGCCCGCCGCCCGGTCGGCTCGCCCTTAAATGATTACCCGGTGCAGTGTGTATTAGCAAAGGCTGCAGGCCGTCGTGTCATTGGGGTAGTTTGACCATTCATCACGCCTGTCGGCTGGGTTGTTGAAAGGGGGGGGGGAAGGGGGGGCGGGATAACCAGGACTTGTTCAGACATCAATCGCCACAGATGTCGGCCATTGGCCAGAAAATCAAACCTTGGTCAATTGGGCTCATAGCACCTCCGATTAGCATGGTTGGCTACGTACGTAGCGCAGTGGGCTAACTGCACGACCGCTCCCAATATAACACCCGGATGCAGTTTGCATGAACCACAATGCTGTAGATAAACCCAGAGACTCGTAGACTCATCCAGAGCCATAGAGACCCAGAGACTTAATTCAGAGTGAATTCTTAGGGACCATTGTGTACCAGCGGCACTATCCCATTTTACAGAATATGATAAAGTACAACCCAATGGTTGCTTTGGCTAAGGCAACATAGCAGAATTGTCCCCTTCTCTGAGACTATTGCAGATGATATTCCTCTGTGAAACACAACAGCAACTTCCTTCACAAAAGCCTTGCGCTATACGATCGGCTATAATACCAAAGGTGCTCAGTTATTTGATTTGATTCAGTTCCAGATCTGAAGATCGTTAAAGTGGAAGGAGCCAGTGAGAAGCCAGAGGAGATGGAGGATTCCCATGGAGGTCTGCGCACTGCAGACCAGAACTTCATCGAGGTGGAGTTGTCAGGGGAGGACGTTGGTGAAGGTGAGAGTTCCACCTCTGATCGCGTCGCACAGAAATAATGAAGCAGCATCTTCTTGTCCCATCGCCGGTCACGTCCTAGTCAGGCGGGAAGCTGCTACAGCGGTGGGCTGATGTTCAGCTGCAGCTCACTGGACCAGTGATCCACATTTTGTCAATTCGACTTCATTCCCCAGCACAACACTTGTGAAATGATGGGACAGGAGAATAAATGGGGGTTACCCACAGCTTCCGAGATATACTGGCTCGGCGTGGAGGAGTAGACCTCAATACCAGTCTAGAGCTCCCTGAAGTGGAGGATGGCACTTCACACGATGCTCCAGCCACAGTCATGCCCTCCCTTCTATTTGCTTGCAAAACGTGGACCCCTCTCATGGAACATCTGCACCGGTTTGAAACTTTCAGGCTAGCCTGGCAAGGCTGCATTGGCTGGGTCATGTAGCCTGCATGCTTAGCCACCACAAGTCCAAGCAGCTTCCGTTTGACTGGATAGAGGGGGCTAAATGGGCACGGCACAAGCTGGAGAAGAGATGGACTGATGCGGTACAGGAGGATGTGGAGCCGAGTGGACTTTCCGAAGACTGGTACCAGTGGTGTTAAGATCGGCCTCTAAGGAGGAGGCTTGTGAAAGATGCTACTGGGCAGTTGGAGGCAGTCGCCCTCCAACAATGGAGGGCAGATGAGCAACGCTCGCAACAATGAGCAGAGTGCTAGGTAGATAACATGCAACAAGTTGGCACAGTGGAGGCACAGGTGGTGCATCTGCCAGTCTTCTCAGTCAACCCATGGCACCTGGGTCTATCCCGTGACCTTTTAACGAGCCTTCAACACTTCACGCGGCGTCTAAGTGCCTGGCACAAGCGACGCGGTGATGTCACCGCCACTTAGTGGAGAATGGCGGCTGTTGTTATGGGCCGAAACATATCCCTGCTGCAAACCGGCATTCACAGAGAAGACGTCAAAGGTGCCCCAACCTCATTTAACAGCACCCTGGGACTCTTGGGTAGAGGGCAGAGATGGGAACGAAAATGCCGTCTGGTATTTCACGCAGTCGCGGGACGACCCACGGTGCCTCCCGGTGGTGCACCGAGTCGACAAAGGCCTTCTTTAGGTCAATGAAGACCGCAAGGAGCACCTGCCTGTACTCCCTGCCACTCTCCACCAAAACCCAAAGAGCCAGGATCCAGTCCTCTTTGGTATGAATCCAACCTCTTTTGGCCACTGGTGCTTTCAGAAGGCGGCTGCGGACTCTTGGCAGGAGACTGTGGGCGAGTACCTTGGCAGGCACCGAGAGCAGCGGGCAGCGTCGCCCCCGCGGTATTTGTGTTTGGTCAGCTCAGTCCGCCCCTTCCAGATTGGGACAATCGGTCCCTGTCTCCAGTCGGGGGGGTGGGGGGGGGACAGACCCCGATCTCCAAACTGCATCAATCATCGAGTGGTGGAGCCCTCTAAGCAAATCCTCCCCGCCGGCCAGCACAAGTTTGGCCGTGATGCCGCAAACCCCAGCCGCCTTTCGCCTCCTCCCCCCCCCCCCCCCCCGGCCTTTTGCCCGGCATCAGGCACATCCAGCTTCACCGCTGGAGGGAGCGAGAAGCTGCTCAGAGTACCTGGCCCACACAGCCCCAGCACTCCCGAGAATCTGATACAAGAGATCCATCGGTCACCTTCGGTGAGGACACTAGAGGTTTGGCTTTGGAGCGGAGGTGTTTGAGGACCCAATAGGTCGTCCAGGAGTCACCCGTACACAGGTAACTCTCGAACTGACCCATCAGGTCCACGATCAAACGCTACTTAGCCACACGACGGATGGTGCAGTTAGTCTGTGTTTTACAGAGAATGTAAACACACGAGAGGTGGGCCAAGAAAAAGCAACCATCTCGCACCATAAGCACTCACATTAACAGAAAGACACCTGCAGGATGCAGAGCAGGCGGACCCTGCAGCATGGTTATGCATTCCATCTTGAATACACATACGCGTGTGTGTGTGTGCGTGCGGCAGACGAGGGTAGGGAGATGGAGCCGTTGTGCGAGGCGTGCCGGAGGGACCTTGGCAGGTGGTTCGTGTCGGGTCAAGCAAAACCCACGGGACTGTCCCCACGATGCTGCCTGCGGTGCGGGAAGACGCTTAGAGGCGTCGCATCACGCAACAACAACAACGTTCCACTGATGAGGACATTGACACCAAAGGAGCCGTGCGTCGTTCGATCGGAAACAGCGAAGGCTTCCATGCCCGCACGCAGGCCGGTGGTGCACAATGAACGGCAGAGGCGGCACGTGTGCGGCGAGTGCAGCAAGGGCTTCAGGCAGCGCTACAACCTGGAGAGGCACGTGCGGATCCACACGGGCGAGAAGCCGTACGTCTGCACGCAGTGCGGCAAGGGCTTCTCGCAGTACTACAACCTGGAGAGGCACGTGCTGATCCACACGGGCGAGAGGCCACACGTCTGCACGCAGTGCGGCAAGGGCTTCTCGCAGATCGACACCCTCAAGAGGCACGCGAGGATGCACGCCGGCGAGCAGAAGCCTTGAGGTCGAAGGGATTTGTGCTTGGTCAGAAAGTGGGGAGGGATTTGCCGATCGGATGAGCATTAATACGGCAGGGAGGCCTTGTGACTCAGAGGTCAGACAGCCCGGATCCTGGGTTCGAAGCCAGGTCTCAGTTGCTTGTTTGGTAAACCGAGTTCTCGAGTGTGGTGAGCTAATGGTCTCATCTCGGTGACCGGTAACTTGCACAGACAAATAGAGACGCACCAGAGACCTATAGGCCGAAACAGATTGAGCTGTGGTTAAACCGAGTGTCAAGTGCAGTGAGTCGATCATTTCAGCCGGGTCACCGATGACTCTAGAAAAAACAAATCCCTGAGCGTTTTCAATTTGGTTCTGCGCTGATTTTGGCCGAATAGCCATTGCTATTACACGACATGGCTTAAAATTCAAAGCACCTCGCATCGCACATCAGTCTCAAACATTCCCAGGGCACCCCCAGTGGCAGCACACATGGTGTACAACACAGCAACGGGCTGCGAGTGTGGAAACTTGCTTTTTAATGACACCCAGCAGAATGCAATTTTGATTTCAGACTAATGCGAAGAAAATCTGAAAACATCGTTGCCGCCCTGGGTGTTTGGCACGATCCACATTGGGGGTATAAAAAAAACGCTGGTCACCCCACCCTTGACCGAGGGGCTTATGCCCAAGAACAATCTGTTATGTGTCTTTAGATGCTTTTGGATCATGTCATGTATAGCGTTTACCTCCGCCACACTCCTCAAGTGTGCCTGGGGTCAAGGGCCAGCAACCCTTGAACCCGACTGTCAATTACTACAATAAACAAAGCCAAGCCTCAGAGGACGGACCAAAGCGGAAACGACATGTCCACTGACTACGAGACAAGGAACTGCAAATCATTGAGATCCACATCCGTGGCCTGAGATCCAATATCGGAGAACTCGTCAACTTTTGCAATGAGAATGAGAACCTAGAAATGTCATCGTGGTGGAAACATTCCTGGATCCAACTGTTCAAGACGGGGGGGACTGCATTGTGATACCCGGTTACACCACGTGCAGCCGAAGAGATAGAGCTGCCTCATCTGGAGGGGGCATTGCAGTGGACTGCCTAAAAGGAATTGCCATCCGTCATGACTCCCAAAGAGATCCAACAGACATGGAACTTAAGTGGCTCACAGTCACCTTACGTTCCCGGAAGCTACTCATGCGAGCTGTGTACAGACCACCCAATGCTTAACAATCACATTTTGGACCACTTGGACACTGAAACGCTGTCAAAATGACAGTTCAATGTACGTTCCGTCATGCTGGTGGGAGACTTCAATGTCCATCGTGAAGACTGGCAAGATAGCCGAACAGCTTGCAAGCTCCTTTGGCCTCCAGCAGATTGTTGAATTTCCAACAAGAGGTGAGCAAATCCTGGATCATGCCATGACTAACCTTCCTGCCATATCTACAACGCTTGCCAACCTTAGTACCTCAGACCAAAGCACAGTCCTTGTAAAGCTTTATGTCCCTGCGTACACAGACAATCACTACAAAAGGAGAGTGTGGCAATACAACAAAGCCAATTACTGGGGAACGAGCGGCTTCAGCGCATCTACAGACTGGTCAAGAGTCTTCTCGGAGAAAGACTCTGAGAAGACGTGTGGCCAGGTCACTAACATCATCTGTGCTGCTATGGAGCTGCGATACATCCCCGGCAAAAATGTCACCAAAAAGCCCGGAGATGAGGCATGGTTTGACGAGAAGTGCTGGAGAGCCACGAGGAAGAAGAGACGCCTCTTCCACCAGCTCAAGAAAAAGAACGTTGCCGTCAACAAGCTGAAATTTGCCCAAGCAAGACACTCCTACAGCCAGGCTGAGAAGCAGGCTAGATGAAACTACAACATAAAACTCAAGAAGGATATTATTGCTAAAACCTTAACCCAGGGGTGGGGAACGTCCGGCCCGCGGACCGTATAAGGCTCACGAAATCAATTGGCAGTTCCAGCCATCACATTAGGGGTGAGTTAATTAAATGTTTGACCAAATATAACAGGCTAATCTTTAAGTTGATAATTTTGTATGGCCCGCGGATGATGTTATAAATGTCCAAATGGCCCTAGGCAGAAAAAAGGTTCCCCACCCCTGCCTTAACCAGTGAGAAATGGTGGAGGCTCGTCAACTCCCTCTCTGGAAGAGCTGCAAACTCTGACATCCATATCATTGTGCACAACGAGGTTGCCCATATCACGGCACGGGATAAAGCGGAAATGTTCCGTGAGACGAGTGCAAAAGATCCGGCCCCATATATCGAACCAAGCACCACCTGCTTAATTGAGAACATCACCTTCAGGCCGAAAGACATCAACAGGCTCCGAAAGCAATTCAAGCCCGACAAAGCCACCGGCCCAGATCTAATCACCACCAGAGTTGTCAAGCAATGCAGTGCTGAACTTCCAAGCCCTCTGTGTCGCCTCTTCCACTGCTGCTTCTCGAGTGGAGTATTCCCAAACCGATGGAAGCTGGCCTCAGTAACCCCAATGCACAAGAAGGACTCCAAAGCCGACCCATCAAAGTATCATCCCCCATATCTCTGCTCGGCATCACTAGCAAGATTATGGAGACAGCAGTGAACAAACAATTTAAAAGTTACATGCTCAATAACAACCTGATCTCCTGCAGGAAGTTTGGATTCAGATCACATCACAGCGGACCTTCTGAACATCCTCTCTCAGGTGGAACACCTCGCTGGACAAGGGGGAAGAAGTCTGTGTCGTAGCTCTGGACATCAAAGGAGCCTTTGACAAAGTGTGGCACAACGGCCTTTGTGCCAAACTCTGCTCCGAGGAGGTATCTGGACAGCTTCTGACATGGCTGCAGAGAAACCTCTCCAACAGATCCATCAGAGTTGTATTATCTGGCCAGGCCTCATAACCATCTCCCATCCACGCCTCTTTACCACGAGGATCAATTATCGGTCCACTTCTCTTCCCCCACCTTCATTGACGACCTGGTCGATGTCTGCGAGAACCAGCTGTACCTCTTCGCTGACGACTCAACCCTCCACGCTCGAATAAGATCACCTGCTGAAAGCAATGCATTGGCAGCTAGTCTGAACAGAGATCTTCGTCAAATGAACACCTGAGCAGACAAATGTAAGATCACCTTTGAGCCATCAAAGTGCCAGACCATGGCACTATCTTGGAAAAGAATTCCATCCAAGCTGAATCTGCATTTTGATGACTGTCAGGTAGCATCAACCGACAAGCTCGGAGATCCTCGGTGTTACCATTGACAGCAAGCCGACATGGGTCAAAAACACGTCACTAACATCTCTATCAGAGCAGGACAGAAACTGCGTCCACTGAAAAAGATGGCCTACAGACTTGACACAGAGGGCCGAGCCACGGTCTACAAAGCCACAGTCCGCAGTGTCATGGAGTACGCCTCTTTGTGCCGCATGGACGCCCCGCCGACTCAACTCGAAGCGTCTCGACAGCATCCAGAAGCAGGTGGTGAACTTAATTGGCGTCGATGAAGCCACCGCCAGCGCGCAACTCGCCACCCCCAGCCTGCATCACCGTTGACAAGTTGCCGCTGTCACAGCCCCCTGTACACAACGCGCTCCAACCACTGCCCCGCAGACCTTCAGGCCAAGCATCCACCCCCGTGTGAGAGACGCCGCGCCACCCCATTATGCACAACCCTGCCAAGCCACGCCCTTGCCCCTCCCCCCCTCAGTTGCCAGAACATCCTCCCTGGACAGACGCGCCCTCGGTTGTCCGGATATGGAACTGCCTCCCTGAACATATTGTCGCCAAAATCACCGATTCTGGTCTTCAGGCCTTCAAATGCCCGAGTACATGGACAGCTCAAAGACTCGGCCTTTTAGGACTGAGTCTTTGAGCTGCAGTGAACCGATTTGTTATGCCGATTAGATGTACTAATGTTTGATATGGTTATTGTTCACAATTGCACCAAAATAAAGTGTATGTATGCTGAACTTCTTTCGCACCGTACATCTCCAACCGTGCTAATCGGAGGTGCAGTGGAAGGACAACAAACTAAACACAAAAATCAGTTCTAAAGAAATGAGTTTTTTATCTGGATCATTTGGAAGTGCATAGCTACAGTGGATTCCTAATATCGGAAGGAAGAGCGTTCCAGACGGGCGCAGAAGTGCATCTGAAAGCGCCGCGCGATGGGGCGATTGTGTTCGACGGTTAGCCGAAACACGCTGCTGCGAGAATGACCGAAGTTCGCGTGATGGTCTATGGCCCTTGACAAGATCGGCGGGGTATTGTGGTTCATTTGTGGCAAGCACTCTGTGTGTCAATGAGTGCGACCTCATGATGTATTCGTTCGGCAACCGCTGCCGTAAACCGTCCTCAACAGGGCCAGACAAATGATATTCGTGATGCTCATCTATTGGCACTGAAGAAGGGCCATTGCCCAAAACGTCGCCAATTATTCTTTTCTTTTTAAGGCTGCACGCACAGACACACGTGGTATTGTTATTGAGGAATGTGTTAAGGTGTATTTATATGTGTGTGTGTGTAATGTGTTCGTCTTGTATGTTTATTCGCATCTGCCAGTCATCTCGGAAAGTCAACCCGTGGCACCTGGGCCTGTAAACTCCTGCCAGCAGCGAGAGCCTTTGACACTCTACGCGAATGCCCCAAAGTGGACCTAGCCTGGCACCCGGTTCCATCATGTCACCCGTCGGCAGCGAGAGCGTTCCACGCTTCGCCCCGGCCTGACCCAAGAGCCGCCACTTGAGTGGCGATCGGCGGCTGCCGCCGTGGTTACAGCCGCACTTCGAACCCGGCGACCCGAGTTCGATTCCCGTTCACGGCCACCACCACCGGTGACGATTACCTGAACTGGTACCTGGGGCCTCGCCTGGGTGGACTTGGCCTCAAATGAGTTACCTGGTGCTGTGGTGAGTAGTGAACATCGCCTCATTGCCGGTCATTTCCTAGTCAGGCGGGAAGCTGCTACAGCGGTGGGCTGATGGTCAGCTGCAGCTCATTGGACCAGTGATCCACATTTTGTCAATTCGACTTCATCTCCCAGCACAGCAGTTGTGAAATGATGGGACAGGAGAATAAATGGGGGTTACCCACAGCTTCCGAGATGTACCGGCTCGGCATGGAGGAGTAGACCTCAATACCAGTTTAGAGCTCCCTGAAGTGGAGGATGGCACTTCACACGACGCTCCGGGTCTTCTCAGCCACAGTCATGCCCTCCCTTCTATTTTCTTGCAAAACGTGGACCCTTCTCATGGAACATCTGCACCGGTTTGAAACTTTCAGGCTGGCCTGGCAAGGCTGCATTGGCTGGGTCATGTAGCCCGCATGCCCAGCCACCGCAAGTCCAAGCAGCTTCCGTTTGACCGGATAGAGGGGGATTAAAGGGCACGGCACAAGCTGGAGAAGAGATGGACTGATGCGGTACAGGAGGATGTGGAGCCGAGTGGACTTTCCAAAGACTGGTACCAGTGGTGTTAATATCGGCCTCTAAGGAGGAGGCTTGTGAAAGATGCTACTGGGCAGTTGGAGGCAGTCGCCCTCCAATAATGGAGGGCAGATGAGCAACGCTCACAACAATGAGCGGAGTGCCAGGTAGATAACATGCAACAAGTTGGCACAGTGGAGGCACAGGTGGTGCATCTGCCAGTCTTCTCAGTCAACCCATGGCACCTGGGTCTATCCCGTGACCTTTTAACGAGCCTTCGACACTTCACGCGGCATCTAATTGCCTGGCACAAGCGACGCGGTGATGTCACCGCCACTTAGTGGGGAATGGATTTGCCTAATGCGCCCGGCATCAGGCACATCCAGCTTCACAGCTGGAGGGGAGGGAGCGAGGAGCTGTTCAGAGTACCTGGCCCACACAGCTCCAGCGCTCCCGAGAATCTGATACAAGAGATCCATCGGTCACCTTCGGTGAGGCCGCTAGAGGTTTGGCTTTGGAGCGGAGGTGTTTGAGGGCCCAATAGGCCGTCCAGGAGTCACCCGTACACAGGTAACTCACGAACTGACCCATCAGGTCCACGATCAAACGCTACTTAGCCACACCACGGATGGTGGTGTTAGTCTGTGTTTTACAGAGAATGTAAACACACGAGAGGTGGGCCTCGAGAAAGCAACCATCTCGCACCCTAAGCACTCACATTAACAGAAAGACACCTGCAGGATGCAGTGCGGGCAGACGCTGCAGCATTGTTATCGATTCCATCTTGAATACACATACGCGTGTGTGTGCGTGCGTGCGTGCGTGCGGCAGACGAGGGTAGGGAGATGGAGCCGTTGTGCGAGGCGTGCCGGAGGGACCTTGGCAGGTGGTTCGTGTCGGGTCAAGCAAAACCCACGGGACTGTCCCCACGGTGCTGCCTGCGGTGCGGGAAGACGCTTACAGGCGTCGCGTCACGCGACAACAACAACAATCCACGGATGAGGACACTGGCACCGAAGGAGCCGTGCGTCGTTCGATCGGAATCCGCGAAGGCTTCCAGGCCCGCACGCAGGCGGGTGGTTCGCGGCGAACGGCAGAGGCGGCACGTGTGCGGCGAGTGCGGCAAGGGCTTCCCGTACCGCTGCCTGCTGAGGACGCACTCGGGGATCCACACAGGCGAGTGGCCGTACGTGTGCGGCGAGTGCGGCAAGGGCTTCCCGCAGCGCTCCCACCTGGAGACGCACGCGCGCATCCACACCGGCGAGAGGCCGCACGCCTGCGCCGAGTGCGGCAAGGGCTTCAGGCAGCGCTCGGACCTGAAGATCCACCTGGTGACGCACACGGGCGAGCGGCCGCACGTCTGCGGAGTCTGCGGCAAGGCCTTCTCCCAGCGCTCCAACCTCAGGATCCACGCGGCCACGCACACGGACGAGAGGCCGCACGTGTGCGCCGAGTGCGGCAAGGGCTTCTCGCAGCGCTACAACCTGGAGAGGCACGTGCTGATCCATACGGGCGAGAGGCCGCACGTCTGCATGCAGTGCGGCAAAGACTTCTCGCAGATCGACACCCTCAAGAGGCACGCGAGGACGCACGCCGGCGAGCAGAAGCCTTGAGGTCGAAGGGATTTGTTCTTGGTCAGAAAGTGGGGAGGGATTTGCCGATCGGATGAGCATTAATACGGCAGGGAGGCTTCGTGACTCAGAGGTGAGACGGCGCGGATCCTGGGTTCGAATCTAGGTCGCTGTTGCTTGTTGGGTAAACCGAGTTCTCGAGTGTGGTGAGCTAATGGTCTCATCTCGGTCACCAGTGACTTGCACAGACAAATAGACTCACCCAAAGGTCCATAGACCTCACACAGAGATGCACCAGAGACTTATAGGCCGAAACAGACTGAGCTGTGGTTTAACCGAGTGTCGAAAGTGCATTGAGACGATCATCTCAGCCCGGTCACCGATGACTCCAGCAAAAACAAATCCCTGAGCGTATTCAATTTTGTTCTGCGCTGACTTTGGCCAAATCGCGGCTCTGGGAATAAAAACAAAAATCGAATCTTTGCACTTACACGACATGGCTTACAATTCTAAGCACCTCACATCGCACCTCAGTCTCAAACATTCCCAGGGCACCCCCAGTGGCAGGAAACACGGTGTACAACAGCAACGGTCTGCAGGTGTCTTTTGTACAGGTAACAAGCTAAGATTAGGAGCACTCCCTTTAAGAGTGTGCTCCTAATCTCAGCTCGTTACCTGTATAAAAGACACCTGGGAGCAAGAAATATTTCTGATTGAGAGGGGGTCAAATACTTTTTTCCCTCATTAAAATGCAAATCAATTTATAACATTTTTGACATGCGTTTTTCTGGATTTTTTTGCTGGTATTATGTCTCTCACTGTTCAAATTAACCTACCATTAAAATTATAGACTGATAATTTCTTCGTCAGTGGGCAAACGTACAAAATCAGCAGAGGATCAAATACGTTTTTCCCTCACTGTAGAAGTGTGTGTGTAATGTGTTCGTCTTGTATGTTTATTCGCATCTGTCAGTCATCTCGGAAAGTCAACCCGTGGCACCTGGGCCTCTAAACTCCTGCCAGCAGCGACAGCCTTTGTCACTCCACGCGAATGCCCCAAAGTGGACCTAGCCTGGCACATCGGTGAACCCGTGGCACCCGTCGGCAGCGAGAGCGTTCCACGCTTCGCCCCGGCCTGACGCAAGCGCCGCCGCTTGAGTGGCGGACGGCGGCTGCCGCCGTGGTTATAGCCGGTGACGATTACCTGAACCGGTACCTGGGGCCTCGCCTGAGTCGACTTGTTCTCAAATGAGTTATTTGGTGCTGTGATGAGTAGTGAACATCGCCACTGGGGGAGACAAAGGCGGCCGGGCGTGGTGCTGGCCTCCCAGCACCACGCCCCAAGGCTACACGGGGGGACCTTCATCTTTATTCCGCACATTCGGGACGCTGCCTTCGGAACGAGACCCTTCACAGCTACGCTGGATCGAGCCGATCGACGTTCAGCCCCCGTGCCAATGCCGCACCCAACAAAGGGGGGCGGCACCTGCCGCCGGGGCCGACGGGCAGCGGAGCCCGTCTGCTCGAGGCTACACGGGGGAGGGGGGGGGGGCGAGCTGTGGCGATGCAGTACGCTCGTGCCGTCGTCGTCAGGTGAAATGTGAACACGAGCCGAGCGGCGGCAGGGGCTGCGCGCGTTCTGCCTTTCAAACGTACGACGAAAGTGACGGTGGCGGCGACGCACGGGAGGCGTTTGGGCGGAGGCCAGCGGGCTGCGCTTCAAGCGTCTGCGTCGCAATCGTCGACCGTGGAATTGCGAATAAAGTTACATTCATTATTTACTTATTTTCTCTGGCTCCTCCCCTCCTCCTCCTGCCTCCTCCCCCCTTGCGCAAGGCGTGGGTCTTCTGCTTCACGCGCTCCGGTTCCCTCCTCCGCACGACGTGAATAACTAACGACGTTCCATCGGCTGCAACACAGCTTGCGCATTGCGTTCGCGTTGCGTTAGCGTGGCAGTTCGCGAAGCAGCAGGCATCGTCAGGGTCGGGATCAAACCCACGACCTCCTGTAGACCAGGCGAGGGAGTTAACGTCTCCTAGCCAGCGTGGTGATGATGATGAGAGCGAGACACGCAGACTCCAATTATATAGCCCCATCTCGTAGTAGCACAAAGACCCCGCGTGTAGCCTTTTCACAGACTGTCGGGGCAAGTGCTGCGAGCGGGGGTTGCACCTTTGAAGACCGCCACGACACACGAGGGGGTGGGTGGCCAGCACCACGCCCGGCCGCCTTTGTCTCCCCAGTGACGATGTTTACACACCGCATCAGGTACTCATTTGAGGCTGAGTCGACCTAGGGGAGGCCCAGGACCGGTTCAGATAATTGTCACTGATGCTGGCCGTGAGCGGGAATCAAACCCGGGTCGCCAGGTTCGTAGCGCAGCGCGCTAACCGCTACACTCCTGCTCCCCGCACACGTACACACGCACACACAGGCACACACGCACGTGTAGTGGCATAGCGCTGGCTGCTGGCGGAAAAGGGGAACTGCGGTGAACGGCAGTACTCAGGCCAGCAGGCCACGGTATATACGAGAGGGGGCCATCTTGGGGAAAGTTCATAGAAGGAGCCCATCGGGGAGCCCCGGGAACCCCCCAGTAGGTTCCAGAAAGGGGGCGTGGCCGGTGCGGAGCAAGGCCGCGCTGGGAGTATAAAAGGGGGCCCTGAACGGGAGCTCGGGGCTGTCGCTGCAAGTGGAATCCCCGTTGTGGTTGTTCAAGAATGGGTGTGTGGGTGAGTGGGTGTGTGTGAGTGGGTGTGTGTGTGGGTGGGTGAGTGGGTGAGTGGGTGTATGGGTGAGTGAATGGGTGTGTGGGTGAATGGATGAGTTGGTGAATGGGTGAGCGAGTGGGTGTGTGGGTGCGTGGGTGGATGGGTTGGTGAATGGGTGAGCGAGTGGGTGTGTGGGTGAATGGATGACTGGGTGAATGGATGAGTTGGTGAATGGGTGAGCGAGTTAGGTGAGTGGGTGAATGGATGACTGGGTGAATGGATGAGTTGGTGAATGGGTGAGCGAGTGGGTGTGTGGGTGAATGGATGAGTGAGTGGGTATGTGGGTGCGTGGTTGAATGGGTGAATGAGTGAATTGATGGGCTGGTGAATGGGTGAGCGAGTGAGTGGGTGTGTGGGTGAGTGAATGGATGAGTTGGTGAGTGAGTGGGTGAGTGAGTGAGTTCCATCTTCCTTATACACCGTGGGTGGACTAATCTCCATCTGTTCCATCTCACTCCCTTCTACACCCGTGGGTGGACTAATCTCCATCTGTTCCATCTCACTCCCTTCTATACCCGTGTGTGGACTAATCTCCATCTGTTCCATCTCCCTCCATTCTATACCCTTGTGTGGGATAATCTCCATCTGTTCCATCTTCCTTCTACAGCGTGGGTGGACTAATCTCCATCTGTTCCATCTCACTCCCTTCTAGACCCGTGTGTGGACTAATCTTCATCTGTTCCATCTTACTCCCTTCTACACCCGTGGGTGGACTAATCTCCATCTGTTCCATCTCACTCCCTTCTACACCCGTGTGTGGACTAATCTTCATATGTTCCATCTCACTCCCTTCTACACCCGTGGGGTGGGTGTCCCAGAGGAGCTGTACTCCCTGGCTCTGCCAGGTAAGAAGGTGGTGGTCCAGCAGCAGCAGCAGCGGTGTGTGTGGACCAAATCCTTCTACTCGAATGGAGCCATTAATAAGTAATATAGAAAAAAAACTTTAAAAAAAATACGCTTTCATGAAATGTACCGTACTAGTGTAATAAACCCCGTTCAGACGACGTCGTGACTTGAGAGTTGTTTATTCGTTTCCGTTCACAGCTTTCACCACATTCGTTCACTCGGTTCCCTCGCTCCTTCACGCCAGAGGTCGCAACCGGGTACCCGATACCCGTACCCTACCCGATACCCGGCTACCTGTACCCAGCCGGGTACGGGTAGCCGTTTGCGACCTTGGTGCGGCCGGGTACAGGTAGGCCATGAGTCACTGGTGAGTCACTGTTTGTCACTCATTTCCCAACGTCTTGTCTCTTCTCACAATTCAAGTTCCTCGAATCAACCCACCCGCGCCTGCAACATGGCTTCATCCCAGAGGTCGCAATCAGGTACCCGATAGGGTACGGGTAGGCCGTGAGTCACTGGTGAGTAACCGTTTGTCACTCATTTCCCAACGTCTTGTCTCTTCTCCCAATTCAAGTTCCTAGAATCAACCCACCCGCGCCTGCAACATGGCTTCATCCCAGAGGTCGCAATCAGGTACCCGATACCCGTACCCTACTCGTACCCAGCCGGGTACGGGTACGGCCGGGTACGGGTACCCGTTTGCGACCCTGGTGCGGCCGGGTACGGGTAAGGAATCAAACCCCGTTTGCGACCCCTGCTTCACGCTGCTGGCTGACAGTGTGAGGGAGAGAGAGAGAGACTGACCGCGTACATATCTTTCTCCACCCCTTATAATCCCTGGCCCACGTGATACCACACAACCAATCCTCAGCCACACAAGATACTGTCTGGCTCCAGGGCCACGCCGCTGGCTCGACTCCCCATTGGTTGCAGGCTGAGGCCGGCAGAGCCAATCACTATCGCCCAGGTGTAACCTCACATTACACTAGTAATGGAAGAACTCCACGACTCCAGGAAGTGGCCCCGAGGCTTGCCACAACTTAAGGGACCGTGGTGATTTACAGCCAATGTCAGTTGAGTGTGGACAATTAGACCCAAGCCGAAACGTAACATATTAGAAATATTGTTTAAAAATATGATTTTTTTAAATTAAAAATTGAATTACAAGATTTGAGTATACAACAACAGACAGAGTGAGTTAAATTTCGATTTAAAGCTTTCGTGACTAATCTCATATCTGCATTTTCCATAAATATGCTAAATTCCTCTTGATATGCAAATTCTTTTGTCAAGGCTCTCTTCCCCCTCCAACCCAGCTTAAATATACGCTCCAAGCTTGGTGGTGCTCATTCAGACGCTGTCTTTCCGACAGACCTGTTCTTCACCTGAGGACGGCTGCTTGCGTTGTGGCCGAAACGTCGTGAGAATTATTGTATTATGTTTTATTTTTATTATTTTATTATTTCCCTTCTACGTGACTTTACCGAAAGAACCAAGAAGATGAATCCCTGCAGTCACGAAAGCTTTAAATCGAGAATTATTTTATTGTTTTATTTTTATTATTTTATTACTTCCCTTCTACGTGGTGACTTTACCGAAAGAACCAAGAAGATGAATCCCTGCATAATATTTTATTATGTTTTATTTTTATTATTTTATTATTTCCCTTCTACGTGACTTTACCGAAAGAACCAAGAAGATGAATCCCTGCAGTCACGAAAGCTTTAAATCGAGAATTATTTTATTGTTTTATTTTTATTATTTTATTACTTCCCTTCTACGTGGTGACTTTACCGAAAGAACCAAGAAGATGAATCCCTGCATAATATTTTATTATGTTTTATTTTTATTATTTTATTATTTCCCTTCTACGTGGCTTTACCGAAAGAACCAAGAAGAAGAGTGAGTTAAATTAAAGCGTGTAAAAAAATCAGCCCCCACCGGACCTCCATTCTCCTACAGGGGCCCAGGGGGTACCGTTCTAGCTCCCGACGGTCAATTGGCAGCCTCTCTCCACTCGCCCCACCCGCTGACGGTTTCCTGTCCGTCCACTTCCGCTTTGTGTGTGCCGCGTCTTGGCCTGCATCTTGTCGCCTGGGGGGGGGGGGAGTTCGCTGCGTCTCTCGCTGCATCTTGTCGCCCGCTGGGTTGGAGTAACGGAGCTGGAGACGAAGAGACGCGGGGGAGAGACAGACAGGTAGAGAGCGGTGGTGCAGTGGTTAGCGCACTGTGTGTGAGTGGTGGTGCAGTGGTTAGCGCACTGTGTGAGGGGGGAGTGGTGGTGCAGTGGTTAGCGCACTATGTGTGAGTGGTGGTGCAGTGGTTAGCGCACTGTGTGTGTGTGGGGAGAGTGGTGGTGCAGTGGTTAGCGCACTGTGTGTGAGTGGTGGTGCAGTGGTTAGCGCACTGTGTGAGGGGGGAGTGGTGGTGCAGTGGTTAGCGCACTATGTGTGAGTGGTGGTGCAGTGGTTAGCGCACTGTGTGTGTGTGGGGAGAGTGGTGGTGCAGTGGTTAGCGCACTGTGTGTGAGTGGTGGTGCAGTGGTTAGCGCACTGTGTGAGGGGGGAGTGGTGGTGCAGTGGTTAGCGCACTATGTGTGAGTGGTGGTGCAGTGGTTAGCGCACTGTGTGTGTGTGGGGAGAGTGGTGGTGCAGTGGTTAGCGCACTATGTGTGAGTGGTGGTGCAGTGGTTAGCGCACTGTGTGTGTGTGGGGAGTGTGGTGGTGCAGTGGTTAGCGCACTGTGTGTGAGTGGTGGTGCAGTGGTTAGCGCACTGTGTGAGGGGGGAGTGGTGGTGCAGTGGTTAGCGCACTATGTGTGAGTGGTGGTGCAGTGGTTAGCGCACTGTGTGTGTGTGGGGAGAGTGGTGGTGCAGTGGTTAGCGCACTATGTGTGAGTGGTGGTGCAGTGGTTAGCGCACTGTGTGAGGGGGGAGTGGTGGTGCAGTGGTTAGCGCACTATGTGTGAGTGGTGGTGCAGTGGTTAGCGCACTGTGTGTGTGTGGGGAGAGTGGTGGTGCAGTGGTTAGCGCACTGTGTGTGAGTGGTGGTGCAGTGGTTAGCGCACTGTGTGAGGGGGGAGTGGTGGTGCAGTGGTTAGCGCACTATGTGTGAGAGGTGGTGCAGTGGTTAGCGCACTGTGTGTGTGTGGGGAGAGTGGTGGTGCAGTGGTTAGCGCACTATGTGTGAGTGGTGGTGCAGTGGTTAGCGCACTGTGTGAGGGGGGAGTGGTGGTGCAGTGGTTAGCGCACTATGTGTGAGTGGTGGTGCAGTGGTTAGCGCACTGTGTGTGTGTGGGGAGAGTGGTGGTGCAGTGGTTAGCGCACTGTGTGAGTGGGGAGTGGTGGTGCAGTGGTTAGCACTGTGTGTGTGTGGAGTGGTGGTGCAGTGGTTAGCGCACTGAGGGGGGAGTGGTGGTGCAGTGGTTAGCGCACTGTGAGGGGGGAGTGGTGGTGCAGTGGTTAGCGCACTATGTGTGAGTGGTGGTGCAGTGGTTAGCGCACTGTGTGTGTGTGGGGAGAGTGGTGGTGCAGTGGTTAGCGCACTATGTGTGAGTGGTGGTGCAGTGGTTAGCGCACTGTGTGAGGGGGGAGTGGTGGTGCAGTGGTTAGCGCACTATGTGTGAGTGGTGGTGCAGTGGTTAGCGCACTGTGTGTGTGTGGGGAGAGTGGTGGTGCAGTGGTTAGCGCACTGTGTGAGTGGGGAGTGGTGGTGCAGTGGTTAGCACTGTGTGTGTGTGGAGTGGTGGTGCAGTGGTTAGCGCACTGTGTGTGTGTGGGGAGCGGTGGTGCAGTGGTTAGCGCACTGTGTGTGTGGGGAGTGGTGGTGCAGTGGTTAGCGCACTGTGTGTGAGTGTGGGGAGCGGTGGTGCAGTGGTTAGCGCACTGTGTGTGTGGGGAGCGGTGGTGCAGTGGTTAGCGCACTGTGTGTGTGGGGAGCGGTGGTGCAGTGGTTAGCGCACTGTGTGTGTGTGTGGGAAGTGGTGGTGCAGTGGTTAGCGCACTGTGTGTGGGGAGCGGTGGGGCAGTGGTTAGCGCACTGTGTGTGTGTGGGGAGTGGTGGTGCAGTGGTTAGCGCACTGTGTGTGAGTGGGGAGTGGTGGTGCAGTGGTTAGCGCACTGTGTGTGTGTGGGGAGTGGTGGTGCAGTGGTTAGCGCACTGTGTGTGTGTGGAGTGGTGGTGCAGTGGTTAGCGCACTGTGTGTGTGGGGAGTGGTGGTGCAGTGGTTAGCGCACTGTGTGTGTGGGGAGCGGTGGGGCAGTGGTTAGCGCACTGTGTGTGTGTGTGGGGAGCGGTGGGGCAGTGGTTAGCGCACTGTGTGTGTGAGTAGGGAGTGGTGGTGCAGTGGTTAGCGCACTGTTTGTGAGTGGAGTGGTGGTGCAGTGGTTAGCGCACTGTGGGTGGGGAGTGGTGGTGCAGTGGTTAGCGCACTGTGTTTGTGAGTGGAGTGGTGGTGCAGTGGTTAACGCACTGTGTGTGGGGAGTGGTGGTGCAGTGGTTAGCGCACTGTGTGTGTGTGGGGAGTGGTGGTGCAGTGGTTAGCGCACTGTGTGTGGGGAGTGGTGGTGCAGTGGTTAGCGCACTGTGTGTGTGAGTAGGGAGTGGTGGTGCAATGGTTAACGCACTGTGTGTGTGGGAAGTGGTGGTGCAGTGGTTAGCGCACTGTGTGTGTGTGTGTGGGGAGTGGTGGTGCAGTGGTTAGCGCACTGTGTGTGGGGAGTGGTGGTGCAGTGGTTAGCGCACTGTGTGTGTGTGTGTGGGGAGTGGTGGTGCAGTGGTTAGCGCACTGTGTGAGTGGGGAGTGGTGGTGCAGTGGTTAGCGCACTGTGTGTGTGTGGGGAGTGGTGGTTCAGTGGTTAGCGCAATGTGTGTGTGTGTGGGGGGAGTGGTGGTGCAGTGGTTAGCGCACTGTGTGTGAGTTTGGGGGGAGTGGTGGTGCAATGGTTAGCGCACTGTGTGTGTGTGGGGGGGGGGGGAGTGGTGGTGCAGTGGTTAGCGCTACGAACCCGGTGACCCGGGTTCAATTCCGGCTCACGGCCAACACCAGCGGTGACGATTGTCTGAACCGGTCCTGGGCCTCCCCTAAGTCGACTCAGCCTCAAACGAGTTCCCAGTGCGGTTGTGCAGTAAACATCGCCACTGGGAAGACAAAGGCGGCCGGGCGTGGTGGTGCTGGCCACCCACCCCCTCTGTGTGTGCCACAGTGCTGGTAGCCTTCACAGGTAGCTGCTGCTACTCGCTACTAACAGCACTTGCACCTATAGTCTGTTAGAGGCTACACGGGGATCTTTGTGTTCGTGTGCGTGTGTTAGTGTGCGTAAATCACAAATCCCTATTTAACTCCATCATCAAAAAAGTAACCTGCAGCGCCACACCTATTACCATCATTAGGGGAAAAAACGGTGATTCCATCTCCGACCCCCAGGAACAGGTTTGCAGATTTGCTGAGCATTTCTGAGGTCCTGGGGGAGGGGAAATCCTTCCACATGGAAAACATCGTGGGACAAAGTGGGGATGACCCTGCTGAGGCTGCGGTGCCTCAAATATTGGAAGAGGAAGTCACCCCCTGTGAGTGGCTGTCTGAAGTGCCATCTGTTGAGAAAGTACTGAAGGTGATCCAGAGTCTGAGACCAGGAAAGGCACCGGGCAGAGATGATCTCTCTAGCGAAATGCTGAGGGAGGGTGGCGTTTGTGCACATACTGCCCTATATGACATCATAACAACAGTCTGGACCACTGGACGGGTTCCGCAGGATTGGAAAGATGCCCTGGTGGTCCCCCTCTTTAAGAAGGGGGACCGCACAGACTGTAACAACTACAGGGGCATCTCACTCCTCATTGTGCCGGGAAAGGTCCTGGCAAGGATTATTCAACATTGCCTTGCTAGGCACGCTGAGGAGAGGCTTGTGGAACCCCAATGCGGTTTCAGGAAAGGGCGGTCCTGTACAGATGCCATATTTTCTGTCCGTCTGTTACCGCAGAGATGTAGGGAATTCCAACAAGACCTACATCTCTGCTTTATTGACCTGGTCAAGGCCTATGATACCATCAGTAGGCCTGGGCTCTGGGTTGTTATTCATGCTTTCGGAGTCCCTGACCCTCTGCTCACGCTCATTAAGGACCTTCATGATGGTGAGCGGGCCCGAGTAAAACGACGTGGCCGGGAGTCGGAGCCTTTCCCTGTACACCTTGGGGTGCGACAGGGATGTCCTCTGGCTACCACATTATTTAACATCAATTTAGACTAAGTAGTTCGTGAAGCCTTAAGTAGTTGTACCGGAGGAATTTCCATCTGGTACAGATACAATGGGAGACTGATCGATGCCCGGATGCGGTCAAGGGATGGCTCCCTATTGGTCAACTACATTATGTATGCCGATGATCTGATAATTGCCGCTCACTCAGAGGAGGAGTTGGAGGCGCTGCTGCTGAGACTGGAGCGTGTCACTAAGAGGTGGGGCCTTACCATCAGCCCCATCAAAACTAAGCACCTGCCTGGGTATTTTGTATCATCGGGCACTCCACCCCCACAACTCCCAATCGGTGATGGGGCAGTTGTAGAGAGAGTGGAGAGTTTCCCATACATGGGCAGTGTGCTCATGACCAGCTCCGGTTTAACAGCAGAGGTCTCACTCCGAATCAGTAGAGCAGCATTATCTTTTCATCGGTTGCAAAACGCTGTGTGGAAGCTACCTGGTCTGTCGCTCCGCACGAAGCTTCGGGTCTTCTCGGCCACAGTCATTCACTCCCTTCTCTATATTTGCGAAATGTGGGCCCCCCTAATGGAACATCTTCGCCGGTTAGAAACATTTAGGCTGGCCTGCCTACGATCAATCCTGGGTTTTAACCAGGCTGGATTGTGTGACGAGCTCACAAATCCTTGAAAGATCTGGACAAAGTCCCATCGGTGAGCTCCTCCGGCAGGCAAGGCTGCGTTGGCTGGGTCATGTAGCCCGCATGCCCAATCACCGCATGCCTAAACAGCTTTTGTTCGGCCGGATCGAGGGGGCTAAACAGGCGCGGCATGGGCTAGAGAAGAGATGGAGTGATGTGGTACAGGAGGATGTGGAGCTGAGTGGACTTGCCGATGACTGGTACCAGCGGTGTCAAGATCGACCTCTGTGGAGGAGTCTCGTGAAGGACACTACTGGGCAGTTGGAGGCAGTCGCCCTCCAACAACAACGGAGGGTGGAGGAGCGACGCTCACAACAACGAGCGGAGCGCCGGGTGGCTAAAGCACAGCAAGTTGGCACAGTAGGGGGCACAGGTGGTGCATCAGCCACTCGTCTCAGTCATCTCGGTCAGTCGACCCGTGGCACCTGCTGGGTCTGCCCCGTGATCTCCTGCCAGCGGGCGTTTGGCACTTCACGTGGCCTCAAGGTGCACATGGCCTGGCACAAGCGTCGTGGTGATGTCACCGCCACTTAGTGGCGAATGGCGGTTGTTGTTGTGTGTGTTAGTGTGTGTTAGTGTGTGTGTTAGTGTGTGTGTCTACGCTGTCTAAATTGTCGTCTGAGATTCCGTGTCGCCTGCCTCTCAGATGGCTTCAATCGTCAAATCTCCTTCTCCACCTCCTCCACCTCCTCCACCTCCGCTCATCAAACAAGAGGCTGATGATGATGATGATGAGGAGAGCCCAGAGTCTGGGATGAGCCCTCACTTGGCGGTGAAACGTGAAGACGCCACCGCTGACGATGACGACGACGACGACGATGAAGGAGCGGCAGCGGCAATCGGTGAGAGCTCTCGTCTCGTCTCCTGCCGCCATCATCAGCCGACTTGGACCAGGGGCAGTGTGGCCGTGAGCCTCCTGAGAGAGACGCCCAGACACCAGGGATCGAACCCAGCGTCTCAGTGTCTCTGGATCGGTCATTATGAACCCCCTGAGAGACGGAGAGAGACACCCAGACCCAGGGATCGAACCCAGCGTCTCAGTGTCTCTGGATCGGTCATAATGAACCCCCTGAGACAGAGAGAGACGCCCAGACCCAGGGATCGAACCCAGCGTCTCAGTGTCTCTGGCTTAGCCATTATGAACTCCCTGAGAGATGGAGAGAGACACCCAGACCCAGGGATCAAACCCAGCGTCTCAGTGTCTCTGGATCGGTCATTATGAACCCCCTGAGACAGAGAGACGCCCAGACCCAGGGATTGAACCCAGCGTCTCAGTGTCTCTGGCTTAGCCATTATGAACTCCCTGAGAGATGGAGAGAGACACCCAGACCCAGGGATCGAACCCAGCGTCTCAGTGTCTCTGGATCGGTCATCATGAACCCCCTGAGACAGAGAGAGACACCCAGACCCAGGGATCGAACCCAGCGTCTCAGTGTCTCTGGCTCAGCCATTATGAACTCCCTGAGAGACAGAGAGACACCCAGACCCAGGGATTGAACCCAGCGTCTCAGTGTCTCTGGATCGGTCATCATGAACCCCCTGAGACAGAGAGAGACACCCAGACACCAGGGATCGAACCCAGCGTCTCAGTGTCTCTGGATCGGTCATTATGAACCCCCTGAGACGGAGAGAGAGACACCCAGACACCAGGGATCGAACCCAGCGTCTCAGTGTCTCTGGATCGGTCATTATGAACCGCCTGAGACAGAGAGAAACACCCAGACACCAGGGATCGAACCCAGCGTCTCAGTGTCTCTGGCTCAACCATTATGAACTCCCTGAGAGACGGAGAGAGACACCCAGACCCAGGGATCGAACCCAGCATCTCAGTGTCTCTGGATCGGTCATTATGAACCCCCTGAGACAGAGAGAGACACCCAGACCCAGGGATCGAACCCAGCGTCTCAGTGTCTCTGGCTCAGCCATTATTAACTCCCTGAGACAGAGAGAGAGACACCCAGACCCAGGGCTTGAACCCAGACCCAGGGATCGAACCCAGCGTCTCAGTGTGTCCCTCGCCGCTATAAATGTCCACACGATGGCGATGATGACGACGACGATGACGACGATGTTGATGACGTCGATGATGATGATGACGATGATGATGACGACGATGATGACGACGATGATGACGACGACGATGACGACGATGATGATGAAGACGACGAGGTTATCCTGCCACTTTGTTTGCGCTGCTGTCGTGATGGGCAGGACGCTTCTGACAAGCGGCGACGTCACTGAGTGGGGTCCTACAGCTGGCAAGAGTGGAATATAGTGGGTCTCTGTGTGTCTCTATGAGTCTCTGTGTGTGTCTGTGTATCACTGTGGGTCTCTGTGTGTCTCTGTGGGTCTCTGTGTGTGTCTGTGTATCACTGTGGGTCTCTGTGTGTCTCTATGAGTCTCTGTGTGTGTCTGTGTATCACTGTGGGTCTCTGTGTGTCTCTGTGGGTCTCTGTGTGTGTCTGTGTATCACTGTGGGTCTCTGTGTGTCTCTATGGGTCTCTGTGTGTCTCTGTGTATCACTGTGGGTCTCTGTGTGTCTCTATGGGTCTCTGTGTGTCTCTGTGTATCACTGTGGGTCTCTGTGTGTCTCTATGGGTCTCTGTGTGTGTCTATGGGTCTCTGTGGGTCTCTGTGTGTGTCTATGGGTCTCTGTGGGTCTCTGTGTATCACCGTGGGTCTCTGTGTGTCTCTATGGGTCTCTGTGTGTGTCTGTGTATCACTGTGGGTCTCTGTGTGTCTCTATGGGTCTCTGTGTGTGTCTATGGGTCTCTGTGGGTCTCTGTGTGTGTCTATGGGTCTCTGTGGGTCTCTGTGTATCACCGTGGGTCTCTGTGTATCTCTATGGGTCTCTGTGTGTGTCTGTGTATCACTGTGGGTCTCTGTGTGTCTCTATGGGTCTCTGTGTGTGTCTATGGGTCTCTGTGGGTCTCTGTGTGTGCCTATGGGTCTCTGTGGGTCTCTTTGGGTCTCTGTGTATCACCGTGGGTCTCTGTGTGTCTCTATGGGTCTCTGTGTGTCTCTGTGTATCACTGTGGGTCTATGTGTGTCTCTATGGGTCTCTGTGTGTTTCTGTGTATCACTGTGGGTCTCTGTGTGTCTCTATGGGTCTCTGTGTGTCTCTGTGTATCACTGTGGGTCTCTGTGTGTCTCTGTGAGTCGCTGTGTGTCTCTGTGTGTCTCTATGGGTCTCTGTGTGTTTCTGTGTATCACTGTGGGTCTCTGTGTGTCTCTATGGGTCTCTGTGTGTCTCTGTGTATCACTGTGGGTCTCTGTGTGTCTCTATGGGTCTCTGTGTGTCTCTGTGTATCACTGTGGGTCTCTGTGTGTCTCTATGGGTCTCTGTGTGTCTCTGTGTATCACTGTGGGTCTCTGTGTGTCTCTATGGGTCTCTGTGTGTGTCTATGGGTTTTTGTGGGTCTCTATGGGTCTCTGTGTGTGTCTATGGGTCTCTGTGTATCTCTATGGGTCTCTGTGTGTCTCTATCACGCGGACATTCATAGCAGCAGCCGATTCTAAATGTGGAGGTGAGGAAACTGGAGGACCTGGAGAAAAATCCACGCCGCCACGGGGAGAGAGAGAAGCAGACTCCAAATATACAGCAGCAGCAGGCGTCGTCAGGTTCGGGATCGAATCCACGACCTCCTGTACACCAGGCGATGTAGTCAACATCTCCTAGACACCGTGATGATGATGATGGTGGTGGAACCCACGACCTCCTGTACACCAGGCGAGGTAGTCAACATCTCCTAGCCACCGTGATAATGATGGTGGTGGAACCCACGACCTCCTGTACACCAGGCGAGGTAGTCAACATCTCCTAGCCACCGTGATAATGATGGTGGTGGAACCCACGACCTCCTGTACACCAGGCGAGGTAGTCAACATCTCCTAGCCACCGTGGTGATGATGGTGGTGGTGGAACCCACGACCTCCTGTACACCAGGCGAGGTAGTCAACATCTCCTAGCCACCGTGATGATGATGATGATGATGGTGGTGGTGGAACCCACGACCTCCTGTAGACCAGGCGAGGTAGTCAACATCTCATAGCCACCGTGATGATGATGATGATGGTGGTGGTGGAACCCACGACCTCCTGTACACCAGGCGAGGTAGTCAACATCTCCTCGCCACCCTGATGATGATGATGATGGTGGTGGTGAAACCCACGACCTCCTGTACACCAGGTGAGGTATTCAACATCTCCTAGCCACCGTGATGATGATGGTGGTGGAACCCACGACCTCCTGTACACCAGGCGAGGTAGTCAACATTTCCTAGCCACCGTGATGATGATGATGGTGGTGGTGGTGGAACCCATTACCTCTTGTACACCAGGCGATGTAGTCAACATCTCCTAGCCACCGTGATGATGATGGTGGTGGTGGAACCCACGACCTCCTGTACACCAGGCGAGGTAGTCAACATCTCCTAGCCACCGTGATGATGATGATGGTGGTGGTGGAACCCACGACCTCCTGTACACCAGGCGAGGTAGTCAACATCTCCCCTTTAGCCAACGGTGGGAAGCCCCTCTCAGCGTTGCCCTTTTGTGAAACCGCAGCTGGAGGAAGCCCCGAGGTGCATCAGCAGGCAGGAGCAGCAGCAGCAGGAGCAGCAGCAGCAGCGGCAGGAGAAGCAGCAGCAGGAGCAGCAGCAGCAGGAGGAGATGTCGGGGGACGTCCCGGGATTCCGTGACCCCGGCACGTGGAGGAGGAGGATGAGGGGGAGAAGGAGGCCTGCTGGCTGCAAGGTGGTGGAGGTTTGGGCGGAGGAGGTCAGCGAGTTCGTGGAGGTGCAGCTCCTGCAGGAGGAGGAGGAGGGGGAGGCTGGCCAAGGTGAGACGACCCCGAACAGAACGCAGCAGTAGCAGCAGTAGTAGCAGCAGCAGTAGCTAGCAGCAGCACTAGCAGCAGCAGTAGTAGCAGTAGCAGCAGTAGCAGTAGCAGCAGTAGCTGGCAGCAGTAGTAGTAGCAGTAGTAGCAGTAGCAGCAGTAGCAGTAGCTAGCAGCAGCAGT